CACACACACATTCACACACACACGCACGCACTCACTCACTCACTCACTCACACCCACACACACACACTCTCTCACACACACACACACTCTCTCACTCACTCACACACACACACACGACAGTGATAATAAAACAGCATGTACTGAGATACATACAAGTGTGAAACCCAAGAGCATGTAGGTTAGTTAGTGAGCCACTAGTGATCAAACCGACTAACCTCCTTACTGTACTAACAGATGATGTAGCAAACCGCCTGTGACTTAGACTGTGAATTACTGTATGATTGAAGTCAGATTTCATTGTGAACTAAATCCAAGGCATTACGGAGTAGTGAAGATCATTTTTTTAGACTATAGTCCATAGACTTAACAACCAAAAATCTGAAATATTAATATATTAATGTCTTTATTTATTCATTTCTACTGAGATGTCATGTAAGTGTAACACTGTGATGCATTTCTTTGCTATTACTAAACCAGCGTAGCTCCTGACGACTAACTCTGAGGCTGTGAATCTGTCATATCTAGAGGTTTATGCACTGTTTGTCTCTGTGTGGGGTTCATCTGTGACACACACACTAACGATGCTTTGCAGCAGAATGTTCAGCTCATATTCTTCACATTCTCTATTTTGTTCTATTATTGACCACAGTATCATGTATATGTCTATATTAATCAATAAATTATGGGATGAAACTTAAAGTGTGTTCGTATTCTGTGTGCTGTGTTGGAAGGGCTTCATATTTGAATGTGAGAAAGAAAAATAAAGTACACTTCCCAATATTTTACATATACAAATTATAATTTTTTATTGTACATATGGCGACTAATGTAATGTTAATTCGGGGGTCTGAATACTTTCCGTACCCACTGTATATATTTTTTATATATATATATTAATGTTTTATGCCTAAACTGACTTTTTTTTTTCTTTCTTTTTTTTTACTGGATAATATATTTTTATATTTCAATTTAAAATTAAAATCAGAAATAAAAAAATCAAATATTTAAGATCAGAGCTCTAGAAAAAAAAGAGCTTAGAAATTCAAACGACTTCTTAAGATTGCATTAATTTCAATTATTTTTTAAGGCCTAGATTTGTATTTTTCTAAAATATTTTCATGTGTCCATTTAAAATGAAAACCAGAAAAATCAAATAACAAACTTGCACTTTACATTTTAACATCCATATATGAACATCCATAATAATTCATTACTATTGTACTAATAGTGTAAATACAAGTAGAATACATTATATATCTATATATAGCCTGTATATCTCGTGGCTGCTGGAGCCCATCTCAGGGCCTGACCAGCTCAGAGCTGCTGCGCATGCGCACCGGAGCAGCGCTAATGGCGGAGAGCGTGCGGTCGCCGTTCGATTACCGGGAGCCCCCGACCCTCGACAGCGACGGGGATGGAGGAAAGCCGCCGCCGCCGCGCGGGTCAGTCGCTCTCGCTGGAGAAGCGGGTCGTGCCGCTTGTTTCGGGGGGGATGCTCGGTTTAGCGTGCGTGCTAACGGCTAGCCGGTCCGGTTGTGTTGTTGAGAGGAAAACCCGCGGCCGTTACATCGACCGGCGCCTCTCTCTCGTGCTCCGAGCTCGCGCGCGTCTTTACTGTGCTATCTTCCCGTTCCGCGTTACCGTTACCGTCAGAAGCGGCGGCGCCTCGAACGATTAGCAAAACACTGCGCGGGTGCGCGAGACCAGCCGGCGCGTGCACGGACACTGCTGCCGAGCGCGCTCACGAGCAGTTCACCATGGCAACCGTTGCGCAGGACATCGAGCGAGATCTCCATAGCAACGGTCGCGCGGGACATCGAGCGAGATCTCCATAGCAACGGTCGCGATGCTGTCCGATAATCGCTGCAGAAACCGACATCTGAATTCGATATAATAACTAAATATACCAACCGGTAAAGCGTAATATGCTTTTTAAATATAATAGTAATAGTTAGTATTATTGTATATATGCTATGCCTAAATTACGTAACATAATACACATCTTTTATGTTCTGATTAATAAAGTTAGTATGTGTTATTGTTATGTTCTAAAGACGTTTATAACACGTTTTGCTGATAAAAACATTCCATGAACAATGAATAAATAACGTTATTAAAGACCAGACAACTTTGAATGAACGTTCTGTTAACGTTGCCAGAATTGTTATTACAATCGCATTATTAATTTATAGTTATTAATATCGTTTAGGTTAAGTCGTACTGATTCTGAATCAGCGAGTCTGAACACTGAATCGACTCATGAGTCATTCACAGTCTGCAGTATCATATCAAATGCAGTGCAGTTTTGAAGTGTTTATTACATTGTTTCTGCGTCGTGTCGTGAACTGATTCGTTCAGTTTGTGTTTGCATGAATCTTAAAGTGTGTGTTGTGTGTGTGATGGTCTGACGGTGTGTGTGTTCTGCACAGGCGAGTGTGTGGCAGGAAGAGGAAGGGGACGCCGGTGAAGGTGTGTGAAAGAGCGGCGTATGTGACGGAGGACGAGGAGGAGAGTCTGTCTGAGCACAGTTACAGCCCAGGTACTGAAACACAGTTTAGAGTGTTTTATCCAGTCAGAGCTCTTTTAGTGTAACTGTAGCTGGAGCTTCTCGAGTCAAATCTTGACTGATTTTGATCAAGTAAGCGTCAGAATAACTGCAGTAATATCTCCAGATGAACACTTACTGGACTGAAGCAGCTCAGCTTTACTCGATTCTCCATCAATCATGTTTTAGAGTCTCAAATCTGATCCTCAGGATCTTTTGAGGAGCGTTTGTTTCCAGAAGCTTTACTTTCACTGTTCCTCAGCGGAGGAATGATCTTCACAAGCCTCCAGAACATCTCACATCTTCTGAGGAGCCTTTATTTCTTCAGCTCTCAATCACTGCATTATATGTTTGGAGCATTTCAATCTCATCTTACTGAGACAGATTACTGCAGATATAGAGCCACGATATTTATAGCATTTACAGCACAAGCATCATAATCTCATCATATAAATATCAGCATGAGCCTCTGAATAACATTGAGCTGTTTTTTCCTCCATATTTAGAATGTTATTGATTTGTTTGTGTGTGTGTGTGTAGGGGATGAGCAGTACACAGAGGGAGCTGAAGACCGGATTCCTGCGCCGAGCAGCCCGTTCTTCCTCACCGACCCGGCACAGCTCTGGTACAAGACCTGCTCTCATTCACTTTTTATTGGTTGGTGGAAATGAGCTTCCACAGTGCTCAGCCGTGTTGACTCTGAATGTGCCGTGTGTTTGTGTGTCCTGCAGTGTGCCAGAGCTGGCTGAAGAGGGCGCTAGCGGCGTCCGCGGTCCTGTGCTGTTCCACCCAGCGCCCAACTGCAGGATTAGAGAGGTGCATTGTGGGAGTCAGGTCCGGCTCGTCGTCATAGCCATTCGAGACATTGCCAAAGGCGAGGAGATCACAGTGGACTACAGCCTGACCGACTGGGGAGAAAATGCCATGGTGAACGACCAGAACCTCACTGAAACACGCTATACTGTATTTTCCGCACATCTGCGTAACCTTTAATTCATTCATGATCTGTTAAACTGCAGGGCTTTCATACTTCAGTGTCCCCGCGCGGGTTTGAATGTGGATTCAACCCAGAGAGCAACATCAAGAAGGTGATTCATGCAACACACACACACACACACACACACACACACACACACACACACACACTGACTGTCTTTACATGCACAGCTGGAGTAAAGTCAGATTGTAGATCATGAACCGTTTATATGATTTACACTTTAAATGTGCCATGAACACCGCAATCTGATGTGCATCACACATGCATTTAAACAAAACTGCAGTGCATGTGAAAAATAGCAAGGAATGTGAGGAGTTGCTCACCATTGGTATTTTTTGAAAATTGGAAAATAAATTTTAAAATATGCTACAATAAATTGGAAAATAAGATAAGTTATTGAAAATATCACAAATTAGATGTGGCGTCCTTAAATTCAACATTTTTCTCCAGTCAGCAACCATCTTCTCAAACGTGTGTAAAATGAAATGCTGTTGTCAACAAAACTAAAAGAAAATTATTATTTTTCTTAAATACAGTGAAATATTGCATTAGTAACATTTTTGCATTTTATTTTTATTTAGTAATATTCAAGATCATAAAAGCAGGGTTATTATAGTTAACTAAAACTAAAACATTATTGTAAAAAAAAAAAAAAACATTTTTGTCATGTGGAACTAAACTTACTTAAAATAAATGACCAATATGAACATGAAAAATAAACACCTGCTTGTCATGTCAAACTTTTTTATTTTATTTGCTATGATGTGGGGTTATTAACTAAAACTAAAACCATTAAAACATTTTTATTACCTGAAATAAAGTAAACTTTAACTGAAAAAAATAAAACACATTTCAGCTGTTTAACAAGGCAACATTTCTCATTTTCGTTTACTTTGAAGGTACCAAAATAGCTACAACTAAATAATTCAAAACTAATAAAAAATAAACAACAAAATGTGACCCTGGACCACAAAACCAGTCATAAGGGTCAATTTTTCGAAATTGAGATGTATACATCATCTGAAAGCTGAATAAATAAGCTTTCCATTGATGTATGGTTTGTTAGGATAGGACAATATTTGGCCGAGATAAAACATTGTTGGCTATTGCTACAAATATACCCCAGCGACTTAAGACTGCTTTTGTGCTGCAGGGTCACATATTCCTAAAACTTGAAATGAAAATTGAAAATGGATAAATAAAATCTAATTCAAAATATGAACACAAACTGTAATACTGTACTAAATAATGATACTAAATAAGCTGCTGTGATGTTTGTCAAACAACAATAAAATCATCTTCAGACTGGTGTGAACAGGCCCGAAATCTATGAGAGATTTCTCTTGCATAGATTCAAGATTCAAGATTTTTTTATTTGTCACATACATGGTTATATAGAGAATATATGACCAGCAGTGAAATGTAAGTTCGGGAATGGGAACATTTTCCAATCTGTAGCTAGCTATTGAATGGTGCATGTTTAACTCGCAGCTGGCTTGTGTCTCTGCAGGAGGAGGAGCCGGGTTCACTCCCAATGTCTCTCAGCGTTTCTGACTACCTCACTCCGTCATGGTCCCTGTCTCCCTCCTCCTCTCCGCTGTCTCACTCCGAGGCCAGCGACTCCGACCAAGAGGAGGACGAAGAGGAGGAGGACGACGACGATGATGATGATGACGATGACGAAGATGATCTGGAGGACCTGCGGGGCCGCATGATGAGACGCCGCAAGAAACAGAAAACCTCGGCGACCGTCAAGAAGAAAGCCCAGCCCCGCCCCCTGTCCTTCACATGCCCCGCCCCCTCCTCGCCGACGCCCTTCCAGCAGCCTCTAGCCCCGCCCACCACCAACATAAACAATAACATAAACATAAACATCGGCGCGAGCGGCGCGCTCTCCCGGAGACAGCACTGTCCCTACTGCGGCCGTCACTTCCGCTCGCTCGCTAGGCACCTGGAGAAACACCACGAGCAGCAGCCCGAGGTCCGAGCCGCCATGGAGCTGTCGCACCCCCCCGCCTCCTCGCACCCCGTCACATCTCCCTCTCAGCCCTCGTCCTCCCTGTTTCCCCGCGAGCGAGACGCTTCGTCTTCAGCGCCGAAGTCCGGAGGCGTCTCCTTCTCGCTCTCGCTGTCTCCGCCTCCTGCCTCCAATACCGCAAAAAAGAGCTCAGCGACAGCGCCTAAAAACAAGAGCCCGGCCGTCTCGCCCAAGCCTCCCGCCAGGAGAGGACGGCCGCCGAAGAAAGAGAAAGAACAGCAGCAGAAGAAGCAGGAGGAGGTGGAGGAGAAGAATCAAGAAGACGGAGGCGCAGAGGAGAAGAACAGTGACGTGGCGAGGTGAGTTTGTCTTAGAACACGCACTTTCTCTTCAATCTTTAATGTATTTTTAAATATTAGATTTTTCTATTTTACAGTGAAATATTACAATAGTAGTTTTTTATTGTGTTTACTATTTTATTCTAGTAATAATAATCACAGTAGTAGTAATAGTCTAGCGTTAGACTGACGGCAGAAGAACCGTGACTGCTTTGAATGGCACACAAGAGGCCGTATGATTGACAGGTTAAGCAACCAATCACGTTTCGTTTTGTGCCGCGTTTCATGTTTAGGGGCGTGGAAATGTCCCCACAATAACAGACCGGCGTGTGAAACTCTCGGACGTATTTTAAAGATTCTATGCCGCGACATTTAAATATTATACTTTGAAACTCCTGAAGTGTTTCCAGTTTTGAGTGCCGTATGCATCAGACGTTCAGGCAACAGTCTGTGGGCGTGACATCTGAGGATTAGACTATAGTAATAATAATCATAATAACTACTATTATTTCATATTCACATTGGCATATAATCACAAAATTCTTGGCCAGATTGTGCAGCCCTACAAACAAGCACAGCAAACTTTTAATGCCACTTTAGTCGCAGTTTTATCAGAAAATGTTCAATTACATACATAATATGTAAATAATAATGGTAGCATGTTAGATTATAATAAAGTCATCATTTGCTGCTTATTGATAGTAAATAAGACAGTTGTTGTAGTTGTTATGTTTAGGAATAGACTAGGGTTAAGAGATCTAGGATATGGTCATGCAGAACAACGGATTAATATCTGCTCTATAAGTAATAATTAACAGCCAACATGCTAGTAATGTGCATGCTAATAACCAACTAGTTAATAGTCAATAGTGTTCCCTGATCTAAAGTGTTACCGTAATAATTAATAAATGTAAGTTGAAACCAGCGTTGGGGGTTACGCATTAAGTAACGTGAGTTACGTAATCAGATTACTTTTTTCAAGTCACTAGTAAAGTAATGCATTACTTTTAAATTTACATTGCATTATCTAGTAATGCATTACTTTTACATATTTTAATTTACAATGCATTATCTAGTAATGCATTACTTTGAAATTTACAATTAATTATCTGTTACTTTTTCAAATAAGTAACACCAATTACTTTGCTTTCCCATTTATTGACTGACGCCTCTCCTGTGCCTGTGTTGAGAGAAATCAGGAGTGAGTGCAGAGACAGAGGCTCTTCCTTCGTCTGAGGCTTATTCCGTTCACTTTTGGTGTGAAATAGCCTTTACAGTTGCCAAAAGTGTAACTTTTAGGGTTTTTGTTATTAAAAACAAATGTGACCCTGGAGCACAAAACCAGACATAAGGGTCAATTTTTCGAAATTGAGATGTATACATCATCTGAAAGCTGAATAAATAAGCTTTCCATTGATGTATGGTTTGTTAGGATAGGACAATATTTGGCTGAGATACAACAAAAAAATCAAAATATTGAGAAAATCATCTTTAAAGTTGTCCAAATGAAGTTCTTAGCAATGCATATTACTAATCAAAAATTAAGTTTTAATATATTTATGGTAGGAAATTTACAAAATATCTTCATGGAACATGATCTTTACTTTTGTTGGCTATTGCTACAAATATACCCCAGCGACTTAACACTGCTTTTGTGCTGCAGGCTCACAAATAAGCAAGGCCAGCTCAGGTGACGAAAAGTAACAAAATGCATTACTTTCCATAAAAACTAATGCAATTAGTTACTTTTTTAATGGAGTACCACAATATTGTAATGAGTACGTTCCCCAAAACTGGTTGAAACACTAATGTCCGTAAGCTTGTATGACTTCAGATCCGTCAGATCCGTCAGTGGAGTGCCTCTGCTGTCCAGATGGATCTGTCAGGATATCCTGGATATCTAACGTTGTGCAGATGATGGTCTTGTACGGTGGTGAATAGTGTTGTTGTGTTCCTGCAGCTCTGGGCGCTCTCACATGCCTCCTCTGCTGTCGTCGCTCTCCACACTGGTGCTGTATCTCCGGCGGCAGCAGCACTCCTCGTTCCTGTCTCTGTCGCGCGCTCCTCCGTCCGCCGAGGCCTGGCGTCTGCTCTGCCACTCCAGCCTGGCCCTGCTGATCCTCTACAACCGGCACCGCGAGTGTGAGGTGGCCAAGCTCACGCTGCAGGACTACCGCAGCCGCGCTGCTCCCTCCTCTCCCTCGCTCGACTCCTCGCTCTCCCCGTTCGAGCGCGCCGTCCTCGGCCAGCTCCCGTGTGTTAGCGTGCTGGGCAAACGCGGCCGCCTCCAGCCGCTCATCCTTCCTCCGCACTCGGAGGCGTGTCTGGATCTGCTCCTGGAGACGTCTGCAGACGTGGGCGTGGATCCCCAGAGCCCCTATGTGTTCTCCCGGCCGTATCACTCCCCGGCCACGCCGCTGCGCGGAACCGACCTGCTGCGGAGCCTGGCGCGCTCTAGCGGCGCTAAGAACCCCGCGACGCTCACCGCCCCCCGCGTGCGGCGACAGGTGGCCATCCTGACCCAGCTGCTGCTGCTGGAGGAGGGAGAGCGCGCCGCCAAACGCCTGGAGGACTTCCTGCAGAGGGAGTATCACGTGAGCCAGAGCTGCGCTCGGATTGGCCAGGACCCGGCGCTGATGAACCGCGTGGGGAGAGTGGTTCTCTACGGAGAGAGAGAGGGAGTGCTGTTCAGAGGAATGAGCCTGCAGCACATCTGCCTCGAGCTGGACGGTACTGCAAAACCAATCACATACACTCCTGCTAACCGAGACTGCATTCATCTGATCAGAAATACAGGAAAACTGTGAAATATTATTAGAATGTAAAACAGGTGTTTTCTATGTGAATATCTGTTAAACTGTAATGTATTTCTGTGATGCGCAGCTGTATTTTCAGCATCATTACTCCAGTCTTCAGTGTCACATGATCTTCAGAAATCATTCTAATATGCTGATTTATTAGAAACATTTCTGATTATTATCAGTGTTGAAAACAGTTGTGCTGCACAATATTTTTGTGGAAACTGATACATTTTATTTTTCAGGATTCACAGATGAACAGAAAGATCAAAAGAACGGCGTATTTTGTTACATTATAAATGTCTTTACTGTCACTTCTGATAAATTTAATGCAGCCTTGATGAATAATTATCATTAATAATATTTGTTTTTTTTAAATCTCACTTATAAACTTTTGAATGGTAGGTTTTCACAAAAATATGTTTCTTGAGCAGCAAATCAGCATATTAGAATGATTTCTGAAGATCATGTGACACTGAAGACTGGAGTAATGATGCTGAAAATACAGCTGCGCATCACAGAAATACATTACACTTTAACAGATATTCACATAGAAAACAGCTGTTTTACATTATAATAATATTTCACTGTTTTACTGTATTTTTGATCAAATAAATGCAGCCTTGATGAGCAGAAGAGACTTCTTTCAGAAACATTAATAAATCATAATTATTCCAAACTTTTGATCAGTAATGTAGTAATGCATGTGGTTTTGACATTTACTAATATTACGGATGCATAAAGGAAACAATAAATTAATAACATGCAGCTTTTTGTTCTCAATGATCAAAAACAGCTGCATTACATTACATTTGTTTTAGGATATCTAGAAGTAAATTTATGCTAATACTTGCATACTTTGCAATGGTAGAAAAGTGGTTTGGTAAAGGTTTTCCTGTCCTCTTGTTTATACTATGTTACACATATAAATGTTATCATTTACCCATGAGCCTAATTAGTTTTTACCAATTCCCTTTGCTAAAAAAAAAAAACCCTGACTATTTGGTTTTACTTTTTGTTGTTGTATTTAATTGAAACTAAGTCGATCCCATTAGAGCGTCTCAGAGATGGAGAAGCTCTCCGTTAAAGTGTTTCTTGTGTTTGTGTCAGTGATGTCGGGGAACTCTGGCGACTCTTTCTCTGATGACTCTGATGGAGAGGCCAGTAAGAGTAAAGACACTGGAAAGAAGAAAGGGTCGCGTAATCGAGCGCCGCGGCCGAAGAAGAGCAGCAGCCCTCATCAGTCCACCAGCACACCGTCAGCGGCACACAAGAGACGCAGCGCTCAGGTCAAGTCCGGTCAGTCTCCTGCGCTAAAACATCAGCTCAGACACATTTCATCAGAAGTTATGTTGAGTCTGAGTTTGCATTCTGAAGGGAGTGTGATTAGACATTATTCAGAAAACTGGTTGCACACAGCAAGAAGAGAGTGTGAAAACCTCCCTAAATCTATTAGATGTTTTGCAGTCTGTAACTATTTGTGTAGTCGGTGGAAGAAAAATAATTCTCTAAAAACAATCTTGAATAGTAATAGAATAGAATAATAATAATATCGTACTCGGTTACTAACGTAGCCTCGGTTCCCTGAGATACGGGAACGAGTACTGCGTCTTGCTTAAGACGCTTTGGGAAAACTCCTTTTTCTCAGAATACTGAAGCCTTTTTCAATCATGCAGTGTAACTGCACGGCCATTGGTTTGTGCAGTGTATTATTAACCCTCTGGGGTCCGAGGGTGTTTTGGGGCCCTGGAGAAGTTTTGACATGTCCTGACATTTGTGCTTTTTTCAGTTGCTTATAAACATTCTTGAGGTCTTGCTGCTTTGTTTGCTGTGATGTGGGCGTTTACACGCCACGCGCTTCACGTGGACGATTATAATATCTATAGCGCGCTCAGCACGTGGGCGTGGGCGTGGTCGCATTAGATATAATGAAGAGAGACGTGAAAGACTGGACATCACGTTGGTTTCATATGGAACACTATCAACCACAAATAATATTACCACATATTCTAGGAATAATACAATTACAATTACTATACTGTGCACTTACTCAGTAGGATTTTCCAGTGAACTCAAAACTGAACGACATGCGTGTGCCTTTCTTGTGCAAGATGCCGGTGATGCAGCCACAGTCCCAAACGAAAATTGAAACAGTTTCAAACATTTCAGCGTCATTACTTCATAAGACAAGGGTATAACACATTCAAAATATTTACACCAGAGCAGATATTCATGAACAGAAGCTTAGTTACATTCATAAACACAAGCATTGTATGTCGGCCTATACAATCCAAAAACTATAGTTATAAACATATATGGCTATATTCGTGAACAGAGAATATCCTATCACAGTAAAGTTTTGACTAATCATTCTTACTGACATTAGGCTAGTAACATTATAACTCATATTACTTTTATAATTCTGTCTTATTCCTCTCAGCGCAACGCGAACAGTAAGCTACATAGCACGGCCAGCAACGCAGTACTCGTTCCCGTATCTCAGGGAACCGAGGTTACGTTAGTAACCGAGCACATTCCCTATCGATACTTCACTCGTACTGCGTCTTGCTTAAGACACTTTGGGGAACCAGTACAATCCCGCTGTGCTATGGTAGAGGAACGACCAATGCTTGAACTTGCCTTGAGCACCAAGGGCCCAGAGGGACCAAATAATTGTAGGGTTTTTGCCAGAGTAAGTCCATTTAAGCAGAAAGGACCCGAGCCTGTAAAGCCGGGACATCCAGATCATAAAATCTGGTAAATGTGGACGGCAAGGCCCAGCCGGCCACCGCACAAATTTCTGCAATGGAAACTCCGCTAGACCAAGCCCAGGAAGAGGCAATGCCTCTTGCTTCCATGGGGCATTGAAGGCCCAAAGAAAATAAAAGTAGACCATTTACAGATTCGATTGATGTATTGCTCTTATCTGTAAGATCAAAACTGAAAGTGTAATTTAAGTTCTTTTTGGTGTTATCAGGAGAAGATGCCACAAAACGCGTATCCGCGTTTGTCGACCCCAAAGGGTTAAAAACGAACCAATGGCTCGGCAGCTTAGCGGCGACACAGCCCGCCAGAGCCCCCCAATTTGGGCGGGTTATCTGGCTATACAAGTGTGCACTTCGCCATAGGACCTCAGGTTACTTCAACTGAAGCGACGACTGAGTCGTGCAGCTACATAGCACGGCCAGCAACGCAGTACTCGTTCCCGTATCTCAGGGAACCGAGGTTACGTTAGTAACCGAGCACATTCCCTATCGATACTTCACTCGTACTGCGTCTTGCTTAAGACACTTTGGGGAACCAGTACAATCCCGCTGTGCTATGGTAGAGGAACGACCAATGCTTGAACTTGCCTTGAGCACCAAGGGCCCAGAGGGACCAAATAATTGTAGGGAAGCCCCAAAGGAAGCAATAGGGCCAAACTCACAGAGGTCGGCCCGGCGCCAAGTAATCGTTCCAAGAAAAATCTTACAGCCTCGGAACCCAGTGGGGGCCAAGAGCGTACAGAGAAGGCAAATGCCTGATATAGCACTGGTTTTGCCAGAGTAAGTCCATTTAAGCAGAAAGGACCCGAGCCTGTAAAGCCGGGACATCCAGATTATAAAACCTGGTAAATGTGGACGGCGAGGCCCAGCCGGCCGCCGCATACATTTCTGCAATGGTCACGCCGCTAGACCACGCCCACGAAGAGGCAATGCCTCTAGTTATGTGGGCTCGTACTCCAACTGGGCATTGCAGGCACAGGGAAGAGTAGGCTAGTTTGGAAAGTCTCTGCTTCGTGACCGGAGACCCTCTGGTGCGGTCACCGAAGCATACAAAAAGCTGATCCGACAGCCTGAACGGGGCGGAACGCTCAATGTATATTCTCAATAATACCCTGATGGGGCAGAGTAGATTTAGTTTTTGGTCCTGCCCTGAAGGAGGAAGCGCCGAAAGAGCTATCACCTGTGCTCTGAACGGAGTCGAGAGCACTTTATGTACATAACCATGCCTCGGCTTCAGGACGACCTTGGAGTCGTTGGGCCCGAATTTGAGGCAGGTAGGGCTCACCGAGAGCGCCTGCAGATCTCCCATACGCTTTACCGATGCTAACGCCAGTAGCAGAGCGGTTTTAGCGTCAGGGGATGAAGGTCAACGGACTGTAGCGGCTCGAAAGGAGGGATTTTCAGAGCCCTTTACACCGTAGGCAGGTCCCATGTAGGGATGGTGACAGGGCGAGGTGGGTTGAGCCTCTTAGACCTCTTCAAAAAGCAAACAACTAGGTTGTTCCTGCCCACCGACTGGCCAGCTATAGGAGCGTGTGAGGCTGCTATGACTGCTACATAGACCTTGAGCGTGGAAGGGGAACGACCCTTATCCAACAGCTCTTACAGGAAGGACAATATCAGAGATATGCCGCAGGAAATTGCGCCGCGGGCCATAAACCAGGCGGAGAAGACAGACCATTTAAGGGCATAGAGCCACCTTGTAGAAGGTGCTCTAGCCTGAGATATTGTGTTTAGCACGCTCTCTGGAAGGTCCACAGACTCCCATTAAGAGGCCAGAGGTGCAGAGCCCACAGCTCAGGATGGGGGTGCCATATCGTTCTGTTCGCCTGAGAGAGGAGGTCTCGTCTCAGGGGGATGGGCCACGGGGCTGCTAGAAGCAGCTGAGACAGCTCTGCAAACCAGTGTTAGGTCCTCCAGAGCGGGGCCACCAACAGAACCTTGTGTTTCCACTCCTTGATTCGCCTGATTACCTGTGGGATCGGGGCAATCGGGGGAAAAGCGTAAAGGAGGAGGTTGGGCCAGTCATGGGCCAACGCATCCTTGTCCTTCGAAAAGTAAATTGGGCAGTGAGAGTTGTCTTCTCAGGCGAAGAGGTCGACCTCTGCCTTGCTGAATATCTCCCAGATTCTCTGAACCGTATGTGGGTGGAGCATCCACTCTTCTGAGGGGATGTTGCTCTGAGATAGCATGTCTGCTCCTTGGTTCAACCTGCCCGGCACACCCGTGTTGGAAGCGTCTGTCAAGTCCACCTTCCTTCTGCAGAACATTCCATGGAGTACTCCACGTTCCATCCACCGAGTCTTTCCAAGGGGCCAGAGCTGTTACGCAGGCCCGGTCCACCTTGACATGAAGGCGTCCGAGACGCCAGGCGTTGGACGGAACTCGCGGTTTCAGCCAGCACTGAAGGGGCCGCATGCAAAGAAGGCCCAGCTGAAGTACCGGAGACGCGGAGGCCATGAGGCCCAGCATCTTCTGAAACGCCTTGAGAGGGCGAGGGGCTCCAACTTTGAATGAGGCCACAAGCTGCTGAATGGCCAGTGCACGTTCTGGCGCGACTACCACCATCATTCGGGCTGAGTCGAGAACTGTTCCCAAGAACGATATCCGTTGGCTGGAAAACAGAACGCTCTTGGCAAAATTGACCCTGAGTCCCAGGCATTCTAAGTGGCTGAGGAGGAAGGATCTGTGAAATAGTAGCTCATCCTCCGACTGGGCCAAGATGAGCCAGTCATCCAGGAAATTCAAAATGCGGATTCCCATCTGTCTCAGCGGGGAAAGAGCCGCA